TATGAGTAGGAAGCAACTCCACAGCACATAACAACAACAACATACATGTATTAGGCTTTATTTGCATAGACCTCAAGCCATGTTATTTTCAATAGCTTCATATGCATGTGAAAGGTAGACAGCTAATAAAGACCATAGAAGAATTGATGCATTTGAGTCATGCAGTTGAGGAAGAATACTAAAGGTACCACGGACTGCCAATAGAACAAACAGGTCTGTGTTGGATAAAATATTGCTAGAATACTCCTTGGAAGCCAGGAGCACCAGACTTTGGACATGTTATCAGGAGGGACCAGTCCCTGGAGAACTCGGACATTCTTGGTAAAGTGGATGGCCAGCAAAAAAGAGGAAAACCAATGAGATGAATTTGCACAGTGGTAGCAGTGATGGGCTCAAGTGTTAACAACAATTACGCCTGGCACAGAACCAGGCAGTGTTTCGTTCTGTGTGTATGGGTTTGAGTCAGAACTGACTATATGGCCTCTAACAACCATCTCTAGAAGCACACACACCAGAGACTAGTGACCCTGGCTGCCTCAAGGATGGGGAGCTGGAATGCTGGGGCTCAGAACTGGGAGGGAGGGTTTTTCTTATATAATGTACTGTTTGGGTACCTTTTGCATTTTGAACAATGTGAATAAGTATTACCTATTTCCAAAAAGTAAAGCAACCACAACATAACTCAACCACCATAAAAAAATTTATTTTCCTCCTGCATCACTATTTTTAACATAATGATCCTAGGCAAACTGCTTAACTATTTTAAGCTTCACCTTCTTAGTCCTAAAACAGGAAAACTCGTATGTATGTGTGGTTGAAGACTGATGATTATATGAGATAATATTGAACACACACCATTTATTGTTGTTGCTGTTGTTAGCTGGAACTACACACTGTCCTGTTGTGTCATCCCCATGGTTTGTTATGATCCTAAGGTTTTCATTGGCTGATGTTCTAAAGTACAGGCAGCACACCGTGGAGACACTGCAGGTTTGATTCAAGACCACTGAAGCACAGTAACTATCACAATATAATCAAGTCACATGAACTGTTTTCAGGGTTTCCAAGAAGCAGCGGCTGGGTTTGAACCACTCACCTTGAGGTTAGCAGTTCAGTTTTACTCTACAGCACCACACTAGGACTCCAAATAAGCAACAGCACTACGATAAAAGTCTGAAATATTGTGATGATGACCAAAAACGTGACAGACAGACACAAAGTGAACACGCTCTGGTAACAAAAAAAGTGGCACTGATAAAACCTGCTTGATGCAGGGTTGCCACAATTCTTAAATGTGTTTAAAAAAGCCAACAAAAAGCAGTATCTGCATTAAGTTAGTCAACAATAAAACAA